GAGAGCTGAGGACCCTTTTTTTTTAACGCTCTTTAAGCAAAAACAGAAAAAAAATTAAAATAAATAAAATAATAGATAATAATTTCCCCTCCCTCTCACACAGTCTTTCTTCTTCAACCACCGGAAAGAGAAAGCCCACACGAGGAGAGCGATCTCTTGCTCCGCCGCACCATACCGTATCCGCCGCCGCAATTTCTCCGGTGGTGTATTTGAATCTTTCTTCAATCTCTCTACAATGTGGAGGTTTCTCTCTCTTCTTCTCATCTGCAATCTCTGTCTCGCCCTCGCCGCCGAGTCCGACACCGTGTCCGATACATTGGTCTCTCGGGAGATCAATGTAACCTCTACAGATTCCAATGCAACGAGTGTGAGACCCAAGGAGGACAGCTTCGCGGATATGATCGATCGGGCGCTTGAGAAGGAGTTTACGGAGAATGATCAGATTGAAGGTTTCGACTAGATCTTCAGTGTTTTGCATTTCTATATCTTCGCGCTCAGATTTCTAGTCGTTGCTGTCGAGCTAGGGTTTTGAGCTTCTCAATCAATTTGTTCGTGTCTCGCACATTTTCGGTTTAACCGCTTTTCTCTGGGCTTTTGAATGAATTTCGAATCTTTTCCGGACTTTCCATTGCGCAGAGACTACTTTGTTCATAGGAATTGTTTTTCCCAACGAATTTCTTGAAAACTTAGCGTGTGATCTGTAATTTATTATGTCTCTGGCTTTTCAAATGGGTGGGACAATTTTGCTGAATCCGTATGATATAGGAAAAGGGGCCGCTTTAAGTTCTAATGTTTCATCGTTTAAGGTCTTCTTGCATTAAGGGAGTGGTAGATTGAGAAGTCCTTGAACTGTTAGAAAAGCATCTGGTCACACGCTTCATTGTGCTGTTGCTGTTGCAGCTACGGATCCAGGAAGCTTCAACAATAGTGTCGCAGAACAGCAGGTTGGTACTTGGTAGTTATGATGTTTGATCTTCGTATGCATCAGTTCTGTGACGGAAATTGTTGCTCTGTAACATCTTGATTAAATCCCTATGTGGATGTTCATCAGGCTGTACTGGAAACTGTTGCTCGAGTTAAATCCAAAAAAAACGAGACCAAGGAAGACAAGTATGTGGTCCTTGTTTTTTTGTGTCCACTCTAGAATACATTGATACACAAAGTGGTTATCTTTCTGTCTCTGTTCAATGAAAACTAATCCATATCAGTGACTTGTTTCACCAGGTCTTTCCAGTTACAGGATGTTTTCAATTTGGATAACGAGAATCGTGTTGAAGATACACCAAGACTCATAGATCGAAAGGTGTGTTTGCTTTATCTTGTATCATCTTTATTAGTTACCTGAGAAAGCTGTATACATCTACTATGCACATAATTTTAACACCTTCCTATTTTATCTTGACATCGGTGTGTTTTTTACTCCAGGACAACATTTTTATAATGTCCAATCCAAAATCCAAGTATCCTGTACTGCAGCTAGATTTGAGGTCTGTCTTGTTCTAACCATTTCCCGTTAATTAGTTTTGCTGCTCTCACATATTTTGCTAACAGCTTTTTGTTTGGAAAACCCTCTTCAAATGGTATAATTGTAGGCTGATATCAGATTTGGTTGTTGTCATTGTATCCGCTACTTGTGGTGGGATTGCCTTTGCTTGTGTTGGGCAACCGGTTAGAACATATTTCCTTCGTAAATTTTGTGAAGTTAAATATGATTCTTTTAGTATTTGACAATACAGCGCATTAAGAAGCCTAGATTTGATTTTACTGGTCCTTGAAAGACCCAAAAGTAACAGCTTCTGTTTCCACACCACTCATATTGTAGGTTATCACGGGATATCTTTTGGCGGGTTCTCTCATTGGTCCCGGCGGGTTAAGCTTCGTTAGCGAAATGGTGCAGGTAGCTTACATTTGTTCTGGTTCTTTGATCTATGTTTTTCTCTTTTTACCCTTATACTTACAGAAGTTAGCTTCACTAATACTGTGGCTCTTAAAATGGTCAATGATCGCTTGATATATATATATTTTTTTTTTGTGTAGTACAGGTTGAAACAGTGGCTCAGTTTGGTGTCATCTTTCTCCTTTTCGCATTAGGATTAGAATTTTCTGCAACAAAGGTTTGTCTCTCCCACCTAATAAACTTGTTTGGTTTTCCAAAAATTTCTGAGACATTTTTTGCCATTTGTGACTACAGTTACGTGTGGTTCGTGCAGTAGCTGTTCTTGGAGGTCTTCTTCAGATATTCTTATTCATGTGCTTGAGTGGGATAACAGCCTCAGTATGTTCCAAAAGTAGCAGTCAATCTAGTAAAGAATGACTAACTATCATGGTGTTATATTGGCCATGAAGATATTAGTTGGGTAATGCAGGTTGCACCTATTGCCACTTTATTGATTTAGCTGTGTCCTCTTTGCAGTTATGTGGTGGTAGACCCACAGAAGGAGTTTTTGTGGGCGCATTTCTTTCAATGTCATCAACAGCAGTGGTATGTTTTCAGCTTCACTAATGTGCATCTTTGATTTAAGTGTTTGGGCATCAGTGTTGCTGAACCTCTTCCACGTATGCATATCTCACAAACTTATTGTAAGATATTCATACTGATATCATGTGCTGTTCGTATATATTCTGTCCCATGTAACTATTCGGACCCCTGCACTGTTTGTTGTTGTACTTCTATTATGCTCGAATTAATGAAACTCGTTAACAAATTCTCCGATGCTCTTTCTCACTATTTTTTTCTTAAGTTGCCCTAATATAACCTCTAGGCCTGCTTGACGTATGTTATTGTAACTTCATCATGTCTCATACCAGGTTTTGAAATTTTTAATGGAAAGAAACAGCATAAGTGCTCTACATGGCCAGATAACAGTTGGGACTCTTATCCTTCAGGTATCTATTTTGCCACATTATAAACTGTATAGGAGCAGTTGTAATTTTTCACCATCCAATGTTTCTAAAATATGCCCTTAAGTGACATGCCATGTAAAACAATCACATTCTTTAAATTTTATATCTTCTATGGTTTGATGGATCACTAGGATTGTGCTGTGGGTTTGCTGTTTGCCCTCCTTCCAGTTCTTGGCGGCACATCTGGTGTCCTTCAAGGAGTATTGTCCATGACTAAATCGTATGAATATTTCTTTCTACGAAGCGCTGTGAAAATGTTGACTACTAGCTGCTTCCTTTTGTTTTCTTGTTATGTTGCGTCGAGATGTTATCAAGTTGTCAATACTGTATTCAATTTAATGGATTGCTCTTTCTGTCCAGGTTAACGATTTTGATTGTGTTTTTGGCATTTCTGTTCGTACTATCCCGTACCTGGGTACCTTGGTTTCTCAAACTTATGACAAGCCTTTCGTCTCAGGTATACGAGGCTTATCTTCAATCCTTTTGGTTTAATGAGATTTTTATCAACTAATGTGTTGTTTGATCTTTGACAGACTAACGAGCTCTACCAGTTGGCTTTGGTAGCATTTTGCTTACTTGTGGCTTGGGTTAGTCTCATCCCTTACTGTGCATGTTGGCTTGCTGCATATGTTTGCCTCATGTTTGTGTGTCAATATGCATAGACCTGATATTATTCTTACTACTTCAGTGCAGTGACAAGCTGGGACTAAGTCTTGAGTTGGGTTCATTTGCAGCGGGCATTATGATCTCGACTACTGATCTCGCTCAGCACACACTTGAACAAGTAAGATTTTTAATGTGTTCTTCCTTTAGCACTTGAGGTTGCCAATTGGTACTAAATCATCTTGCTATAATCCTGCTTAATGCAAGAGTAGTAGTAACTTTGTAAATGTTCCCGAAGTATTTATACGTTTTTTTGGTTATGTTCCAATTTTCTTGCAGGTGGAGCCCATTCGGAATTTCTTTGCCGCACTTTTCCTTGCCAGCATCGGCATGCTAATACATATGCATTTCCTGTGGAACCATGTTGACATTCTGCTTGCGGCTGTATTGTTGGTGGTAGTGATAAAGACAGTGGTGGTTGCAACAGTAGTTAAAGCCTTTGGATACAGTAACAAAAATTCAGTACTTGTAAGAAGTGACAAGGCTTTACTAACTGAACTTTATCCATTCTCATAATATTGAGAAACATTTCATAAAGAAAGGCCTCACAATTTTCTCTGCTTATAGGTTGGAATGTCCCTCGCACAGATTGGAGAATTTGCCTTTGTTCTCTTAAGTCGGGCATCCAATCTTCATCTAATCGAGGTTAGTAAATATATTGCTATGTTTTTCATTATGGTGATTCATTTCAGCA